AGCCTTAGCGGCTCAGCGCCTTCGCTTGCGGCTGCGGCTGCGAGGGGAGCGTGAGCGCTCCCTGTCGCGATCCTCCCTGCGATCGCGCTCTTTCTCTCGCTCCTTTCGGTCCTTCTTGCGCTCAGCCCGGCTTTCCGGGGCATTCCCGGCACCGCTACCGGCCTCCTCCGTTTCTCCATCCCCTACCGGCAGCGGTCCACCGATCCAGAATCGACGATCTGAGTCACCGAGGCGAAACACGCAGAACTCTCTGGTAAGTTTCCTTTTGGCATCCATGGGCTCAATCGTCTCCATCTTTTTGGTCACGGCCGACGTGTAGCGCTTGGGCGGCTTGCCATCGGAGTCTTTGAGATGGGGGTGCAAAGTCATACTCTCAACCGTGACGGGTCCATTCACGGCCTTGAGGAACCATCGGCTTTTCATGTAATAGATGGCCGCATGCTCTGGCCTGACACCTTTGTTGCCATCATAGACCATGCCATCCACATCTTGGGAGGAGCCAAACACGACGGCTGACATTTCATCCAACGGAAGGGATCGGCTGGCAGCGCTCGCGTCAGACTTCACTTCTTCCATGTCGAAGCAATACAGCATGAAAGAACCTGGTGGAGGTGCTTCGCATCGATCTGGAGGCTTCCATGGCGGCAACATGTCCTTGAAGGTCTTCTTCTCATTGCTGGGCGGTGCCTGTCACACGGGTCATCACGGGTCACATGCTCAGCACGCCCACGATTCCCAACGACAGCAGCAGGACGCCCGAGCCCGCCTTTTTCTTGAAGGGGGACGGGCCCGACATGAAGGCGCATTGCGCCAAGGGACCGTAGGCCATGGCTGGCCCAGCGTCACCCCCTACCCTCCCGCCACGTCTGGGAGTCTGCCAACTCGCAGATTGAGCCTGATGCAAGTGCAAGTGCCTTTTCCGCCTAGCCAAGTATAGATTCAACAGCAAATTTTCCGGGAGCGTCGAGAATAACGGTGGGTCGCTTTAGCTCGGAGCTACCATGCCACGCTGATGTCTAGGGTAAGAAGACGCAACTGCCTCGAAGTGCCTCGAACATGATGAAGAGACTGTTGGACACTTTTCGATCGCAGGAAATGCCGACAGACCTAGACCTGGCCTGTACCGTGTGGTTCAGGCTATGGTCATGGTCAGCTTGTTCTTCAGGCCCTCGATGCGCCGCTTTTGCGCCTGGGTTGACACTCATGGCAGCTACGAGACCACGAGCATTGTCGAATGGCGGCCGCATGGCCTCGAGCACCGCTTCAATGTCCATGTTGACATCCGGGATGTCCGGTTTCTTTGCCCGTGCCTGGTTTACAACCATGGGCCAAACAGTATCCAACAGATCGCCAGACTTGCCTGGACAGAGGGCGCCGAAGCCGATTCTGTCAAGGAGGTCGGTATGGTTCAATTGAGCGGTGACAATGACACAAGCGCGGACTTGGCCTGCCATGGACCGTACAGGCGTCTCCTGCATCCGACCTGAGCTGACGGCGGCGACCTTCCCGCCAGCCGGCGTAGGGCCGCTGCTCACACTGCGCACCCCACCTGGCTTCTCGAGCCGCCGAGGCACCTTGACCTCCGGCTCTGCGCGCGGCACCTGCACAAAAACGCTTTTCGCTTGTCCAGGGAAGTCTGCAAAACAAACCTTGCCATCGCTGCCTCCAACGGAAGTGGCTGCACACCTGAAGGGCCAGCGAGACTTCCAGCCCGAGCTTTCAAGAGAACGCAGCACCAGCTCGGCCGCCCAACCTTCCTGCCGAGGCATGGACCCTCCCCCGCTGGCATGGGGCCCTGGCCCATGTCGGAGCAGGTGAGCAGTTCATGTCCGAACACGTCTCGTCTGCAGGAGTCAAAAGATCCCCTTGCAAGCCGTGTCTCTGAAGCTCCGGTATCTTCAAGAACACGTGCAGGCATCAGGGTTTTGGGGTCAACACAGTTGGAGCAATAGGCATGCACCGACTCACCTTCCCTTAGCTTTTGCATGTTGTCCGGCGTGAGCCAGTCGGCAGATCGGCTAGAGTGCCAGAACTTCAAGCCCACACTCTCGCAGAAGGTGAGTGGCGGGGGCGCTATGGCTTCGAGCGAAAAAGTTGAAGTCCGTCCGGTGGGCTAATTTGCTCCTTTGCGACATCTACGAGAGGTGTTTAGCGCATACATGGGCATGCTTAGCTACACATTGTGCAGGAAGCGGCCCCGAGAAAGAAGAGCTCCCCAAGTGATATGCATTGGCTCCACCTGCAAGCGGGAGCAGGGGCGATGCGGATACGTCCGGAAGCCGCGCAATAATCGCGGGGGCAAATCCCAGGCTGCGTGCCCGCGCAGGTCAGACAAGAAGGTGTCCCAGCTTGGCGAGCTGTTGTTCAATGATGTGACCGAGCCAAGTTCACGAAGGCTGCTCTCTGATGTTCCTGAGGTCATCCACCAGTAGTCGTCGCCTGACTTCGCAGGTGCCGTAGTAGAGCTTGCCAAAAGGCTGCGGCACGCCCACCAGTAGCTGCTTGCACCTGAATCCAGGGATTACCGTCCCCCTTGCAGGGGCTCAGGTACAGGTTCGCCTGCAGCTGGTCGCGAGGACATAGAGCTAAATCGTGTAACCAGACGTGTCGTCGAGGATGTCGCCTGTTCGGCAGCCTCAGCCGCCCGTCTCCTGCCTCCCAACTCGAGAAGGCCTGCGTATCCCCACGATTGCCTCAGCCAGTCGCCATTGTCCATCGCGCAGCTTGTCATTGATGGAATTCCAAGGTTCTGAGGCATTACTGTAGGAGACTCTTCACATCAAGACGAAGGATGCTGGAGCAACCAGCGAGAGTCGTGCACGAGCCGGGCGAACAGCGAACGATAGACATCTGCATAGGACCATGCAACACTGAGTCACTGCGGACATATCTGCACAGAGGAAGCGCAAATTGCCAGCCAGGACGGTGAAATGAGTTCATTGTCATCCAAACAGCGAAGTAACTGGTCAAGGACCACTCATGTCAATCAAGTTCAAGAAGCCCCGGAGCCTGTTAACATTGAGAAAATAGCTATCCGCACAGATTTGGGCTGCTTTGTTGTATGGTACTCTTTGCACTTCGGTCGGCCTCCAAAGAAAGCAGGTGCAGACGAACTCGCTGCGCTTTGGGGGATGTTGGCGGCCCCCAAACGAAAGCTGGCAGAAGCGGAAGCCCAGTCTTCACCTGAGCCACTTGAAACACGACAACACCACCGAGCACTGCTCCGCTTCACCTCGTGTAGGGAGCGGTGGCCCAGCCGGTGCGATCCCATCTCGGCCTGACACAAAAAAAAACAGAAAACGCTATACACTCTGGGAATCTGCGGCTCTCTGGCATGACAAAACGGTCCAACTCGCACCTCGAAAGGCTCTGTTCGGCCTCACGGCAAAAGCTGAAATCAACCACTCTTAAAGGAACAGTTCGCTTGCCAAGAACCAGGCGCCACTCCGACGGCACGCTCCGGGTTCGGCAGCTCAGGCATGTGACCCATGGGTGGTGGCGCCTCCTTGAAGACCGCACCTGTCTGAGCGGAGCCAGCAGAGCAGAGGCGGAAATTGCCTGCGAAGGACGCAGGTAGACTGAGGCCGGGCGGCACTTTGCTCCTTGGCCCTTTGACGTGAACCCGTCGCTGCGAACTCGCAACCCCCCATCTCCCGAACACAACCTCACAGCCATAGCACATAGCAGGCAGCCTATGGCAGCTTGGCAAGGGTCAAGAGCCAACAGCCAGACTTCACACGTGTACTTTGGTGGTGCGCTTGAACGCCGGCACCTATTCGGCTCGCGTGGTTGCGAATGGTCGTGGAGACGATGGAAATTCGGGGCTTCGCAAGCACGCACACACACACACACACACACGTTTCCCTACCGTCCGATGCCTGGCCTGCGTGGCGACTCCCCGCCGTCTTGCCGATTGCCTCATGGCACGAAAAGGATGTGGACTGCGAAATCGGCAATCAGCCTACGCAGTTGCACGCAATGTCATGTCGGCGGCAGGCCTCTGGCATACTGGAGATAAGTGGGCGGAGGGGTCGGAGTGCTTTGGCCTGTGATCATCGCTCTACAGCTTTTTCTGTCTTTTTGCAGGGTTTGCGTACTCGCAATGAGCAGGTTTAGCCCCCGGCACTTCTGTCGAATTTAAGCTTCGACGCTTTCCAGCAGAGTGCAAATTGTTTTTGGCCCAGGTCAGGCAGTGCAGATGTTACAAGTCCATGTAGGAAACCAGCCCAGCATCATCCCGATTGCTTTCGCTCTCGAGCATAGAGGGCGAGTTAAGGCCCCTAGGAGCAAGGGTCGAAGTAGTAGGGTATCTTCTGCAGGCTTCACATCTTTTTATGGGGTCCCCTGACCACGTATTTCCCCTTTCCTGTTAGTTCCTCATCTACTGGTAACATAACAGCAAGAACTATGAAAAACATGTCGGGGCTCTACAGACAGCTTTGGTGTATACCGTATAGACTTGAGCCTACGTGCAAATCTCTTGCCGGTATGTCATCATGAGGGTCCTTCGCTGGTTTATGGACTCACTCATGCTCAGCGCTCGAGTTGAAAGCCCAAATTCTCCACCGTGCGCATCGTGTTGTGGTTTAGGAAGCCGAAAACTTGTTCCAGTCTACAACACACGAAATCATCTCAAAGTCCGCATTGTGTTTTCCTTACTACGCAGCTGACCCGGTCTCGGAGTCTTGACTCCCTCTCCTCCCTCTTGCTTGCTTGCTTTATGGGGGTATGAGGACCGAGACCCCTTGGCCCGAAGGCCTACCCCTCTACTACAGTTTCTGTCTCCCTCGCTCTCTCCCTCATTCGGCGAGTCCGGTTCACTATATATCTCAATCACGCCGCCCCCTTATTGGTGATTCCGGTTCATCACATATCTTGAACACGCTCCCTCATTTGGCGATAACGGTTCATCATATATCCTAAACACCCCCCATTTGGCGATTCCGGTTCACCATATATTTTACACACGCTACCCTCTTTTGGCGATTCCGGCTCCTCATACATGTTTAACATAACTCCCTCATTGGGCGATTCCGGCTTATCCCAAAAAATTCAACATGCACCCTCATTTGGCGATAACGGTTCATCACATATCTTAAACACGCCCCCTCATTTGGCGATAACGGTCCACCACATTTCAGACATGCCCCTTCGCTTGGCGATTCCGGTTCATCATACATGTTAAACACACCCTCATTTGGCGATTCCGGCTCACCATATGTCTTCGACACCCGCCCTCATGTGGCGAGTTCACCACATATGTTTAAAACACAGCCCCCTTACTGGAATGACTGACCGAATGACTGACTCACCGCTCCCTCTGGACTGACTGACAGCTCGTTTGGCAGACAGACTGACTGACCGCTCGGTTGGCTGACGGACCGACTGACCCCTCTTCTTTGGACGACCGACTGACTGACTGACCGACTTATGGACTCACGTGCCCATTGAACCGAAAACCAAAAAACATACCCAAACAAAAACAAAAAAAAAGTAACTGCAGGCACGCCTTTTTTGGGGGGGGGCTCTGTCCGTCCTGGCCACACAGTCGACGTGAGACTGGAACTAGGGGCATCCATCACCGGTCCGTGCTATCTCTCTCTCTCTCTCTCTCTCGACTCTCCAAGCAAGGGCCTCGTTGTCCTCCTGATGTCGATCCAAAGCCTGGGCAATGTACAAGAACATGATATGACTCCAGCTCTGCAATAGACGTTTATGCAGTCCCGAATTTGTGCCACGCTGCCACATGATCCTGAGCCGTGCCAAGGGACGTCGTTGTGACCGCGCTCCAGCGCAGAGCTCCATGCATGGCTCCCCCTTGCCGGGCGTGGCCCGCCTCGGCCTCGAGCGCTTCTCAGTCGGACGGCAGTGACGAGCAGCCTTTGGTCTTTGGGTCGGAACTTGGGAGAACGTCCTGGAAGGTGACGCGTGCTGCACGGCTCCCAGTGGATCTGCCTCACTTCAGCAAAGTTCCACACGTGGGGCGAAGTGTTGATTCTGTCCAAGGTTCTAGGCAGCGTGGCTGCATGGTCACGGTCCCCGTGTCTGGAAGGGCTCGTGCCGTGGCGCTGTGCTTTGTGCGGGGCTGTGGCTGTGCCTCACAGGTGCACGGAACGAGGTCATCCCGCGAATTCGTCGTAGTGGTGAGCATCCGGCTGTCTGCTTCTTCTGTGTTGTCTGATCTGCAGCTGCTAAGTTGCCACTTCGGTAGTGACGCTAGCACGTCACTACAGTTCCTGCACCCGTCTTTCCAACCGAACCTGCTGCAATATCCTAATGCTTGTAGCAAACCTTGAGTGCATCGCACGGCCTCGGCTTCCAAACCCCAACACCACCAATCAAAACCCCAAGCCCGGGCAGAACTCGGCACAGTAGAACCAACTGCGCAGCTCGAGAAAGAAGAACAAGCACGGCCAGCGACAACCTTTAAATCCTCACCGCAGCAACCTGCCTCAACCGTAAAACAACGGCTGACGAACAGACAAGCCGATCAACCTAACACCCCCACTTTCACGGAAAAGACGCCTCCGGTTTGGAGCTCGCCTGGTTCGCCACCATTCACAGCTTTGACCACAGACTCCGTCAGCCTGAGCACTGCTCTTTGGGGCCGGTTGGGGCCTCAGGTAATAGTCAAGGCCGAGGATCTCTGCAGCCGTCATGTACGACCGTCTGAGCTCCGTCCCCCGACTCCGCTTACATGTAGGACAGCTCGTCAGACTGGCCCCAATGTCGCGCTGACTACAGATCTGGCACGTCCACGGAAGACCGGCACCGCGAGGACTCCTCGGCGCAGGCTTCTACAAGTGTAGATAAGATGCGCCCGCTTGCCGGTAGCTTGCTGCTAGGCTGGGCACACTTTGTGCACGATCACCTGGCTCTGGGCCGGAGCTGGACCTGCTGGACCTGTCCCCAGCTCGTCGATCCAGGTGGCCAGTGGCCGACCACTCCTCCACACGAATCCGTGACCGTGACGACAGAAACATCTGAACATCTCACTGCTCGCCTGATGCTTGCACTTGCTGGACCTAGCGGATCTCTCGACCTGATAGGGAGAAACGAGCACTGAGAATCACTGCCCGCCCCTCTGAAAGGAGTGTCTTCCCCGTAAAGAAGCCTCAGGTTTGGTGCGGTGCCGGCAGGTGCTCCGTAATGAGACCGCATGCACCTGAGCCGAGGGGTGCTCGGAGGCTCCCCACTTTTGCCTTCACAGCTCACGGGCCTTTCCGGTCCTTAGCACTCACGCGCGAAGGTGAAGGAGCAAACTGAAAGGCAGAGGCCCGAGCATGTGGAAGCTTGAGCGGACTGATAACACGCCATCAGTGGGGGCTCACAAGGGCTGAGAATTTAGAGGACTTGGAAGCATAACGGAGCAGTGCTGATCTGCAACTCGAGCACTATGCAACTTGCCGACACACCTGAGATGCGGAGATCCTGAAACACCTGCATGTGTTCATGGCAGAGCTTGGCCTGAAATGAGCAAGAGACGAAACAAAAATGCTTCCAGGCATGCTCAAACTTTTCGTGGTCCACCCATGGCACTTTACGCCTTCGTCTGTTCCCCTCGTGCAACGCTGTGCCACTCAACACTGATCAACACTGCTCCTCTGTACACAGGTGCTGGTCGACAAGCGATTTGGCATCTGCCTGTCAGCGATGAATAGCTAAAAACAGCCAAAGATCAGGCTTGCAGATCAACTAGAACTACTTGCCGGCTCACGGTGCGCTCCCGGGCTTTCCACTTTCCCTTCTTTTTGTTTTGACACAGCATTTCGAGAAGTCGCTCTTCTGCGGCTACGTAGTCGCAGATGGCGACAAACCTGGGACCTCTTCTTGCTGCAGATATTCGTCCAGAGTGAAACGCTGGTGCCCGGGAAAATGAGCACTAAAGATACCTTCCGAAGTAATGCCGACAATGCCCTCCCCGACAACCAGCAGGAGGTCTGACATTGGAACAAAAGCCCATTCACAGGGCGCCAAGCCCGGATCAAGTCCGCGGGTAGACTTGGACCTGCCAGCCCAGCCAAATGTCTGCGGCGTCTGAGCATCTGCTTTGAACAGTCCAAGACATCTGCTCTCACTTCCTTCCCACTTGAGAATGTGCTTCCAAAGGACGGCAGTTAATTTGCGAATGTCGGGATGTGTCAAGGGCAGGGCAGCATCGAACCCACTAGGAAGCAAGGCAGCTATGGCCAAGCGCCAAGGTCTGGCCCAGGCGGCGCAGGCCCGTGCTGCGTCACCATCTTTTGCATCCCATTGCCGACGATATGTAGGCCTTCCATCGGCCGTTCGCCCAGGCACGCGTATGCTGCCCCCTTCCGCAACGTCCCACTTGCTGCGCATGCGCACTACTCCGCGCTTCACATCTGAGGGCTTGGAGCTGTCGGCGTCGGGCGCTTCGCCTCTCACGTCCTTCTCAGGCTTCGCGTCTCTGGGCCTTCCCTCTCGGCCCTCGCCGCGACGGTCACGTCGATCACGGCGGCGGCTGCGGCTGCTCCGGCGGCTGCTGCTTCGCCGCCGCCGCCGTCTTCGACTTGCATGACTTGCGCTGCGGCTCCGACGACGCCGACTGCGGCTACGACTAGGTCGCTCACTCCTCCCGGCACGCCGCTCATCACGAATACCGAACAGCTTTCCTGCAGGATAATCCACCATGCGTTCCAGCTCCAAGGCTTTCTGTCGGATGTCATCATCATCTGCATGTTCTTTGACTAGCTCCACCGTTTGTTTGAACTTCCACTCCTTGCCTTCTTTCAAGCTCAATTTCGTGACAACCTCCTGTGTAGCTTCCTCCATGAGCTGCATGATCCCAAGATGCAAGGTCATCTTCCCACGGTGCCTAAGCTTGTCGTGTGCTGTTTGAAAAGTAGGCCCGGAACAGGTTTGCCAATAGAACTCCAGGAGCCGTTGTGCTTTTGTCCGGCTGTCCAGCGCTGGCTCCTTGGCGGCATCCTTCTCTTCGTCCTCGTCAGCATAGACTCTTTCAAATGCCTCTGCCGGATCTTTGCTAATGTCCCAGACGTGCACGGACAGAGAATCTCTAAACTCACGCCAAAGTCCAAGTTCTGGAAAATTCTGCATGATGGAATTCCATCCTGCCCGGATATGACCATCTCCGAACTGCCTGGCCTCAACGATAAGAAGGCGGTTTATAAGGCAAAGGAATTGCGCACGATATCGCTTGGGAGCACAGTCATACGCGGTCCTTACGGACGTTGTCCCGAAGATTTCAAGCAATTGCGACTTTTGGAACCATTCGGAAGCCAAGAGTAATGCCTTTTGAGAATTGACTGCGGCTGCACGGTTCAAAGCAGGCCTGTCGATGTGGCCTTCACCGGCAGTGGTGCTGACGGTATGGAGCACCCGGCAGGCTTCTGCAAAAATGGCTTCCTGCGGTCTCTCCAACATCTCTGTCGTCGTCTGGCGTCCTGCGAAAGCCACAAGTGTTTTCAACACCTCTCGCTGCTCCGTCAAACCTTGCCGGAGCTCATCCGCGGCCTCGGACAAGCGTTTGAAGGCAGCCCCCGCTGTCGGGATGTTGGGGTTCTTGTCCGGATGCAGGGCTCGCGCCAGCTGCCGATATGCATAAGCCACATCCTGCTCTCCGTAGCCACCTTGGTGCGCACCACCCAGCCGCAGCACGGCCTGAGATGACCAAACCAGCACACCGTGAAAACCTTACGAGACAAGGCGCAAAAGAGCTAAAGCTGCATTAAAGCTGCTAGGGCTGGCAAGGCGCTCCTGCACCTAGTACTCGGCCGCTAGAAGGGCAAATCCGCTCGACCTCGTCAGCTGCTGGGCCGACCAAGATTTTCTCTTCCCGGTGAGCTTCGACGACTGACTCCCGCAATCGTCTCCTGGTGCCCCCATCGTCAAACCACAGCTCGTCGCCAAACAGCTCAACCCCCTCCATGCGAAGGATCTCTGGCTTGCACGGTGGAGGTGGTGGCGGCACTGGCGCAGCTGCAGCGATAGGACTCGTTGCAACTGTTGTCGCTTTCTCTTTGCTCTGCATGCTCTGCTCGTCACGCTGCTTTTTGAGTCTTTCCAAAATCTTTTGGGTTAGAGTCGGCTGCTTCGCTGCGCGAGCAGCAGCTGGAAGGCTACTTGGCAGGGTTTTTTCGGCCATCGCCTGCGCTTGGGTTTCCAAGTCCTCGTCGCTTGCCATGGCCACTGGCCAGCTTAGCCGGACCCTACAGTACTCTCAGTTCCTCTGAATCCATCCTTCCAGATAGCAATCCTGGAGCATCACAGCTGCAGCTGCAGCTTGCAGACATGGGCATGACCGCTAGGAGTGCTTCTCCAGAGTACTCCCGAGTTTCCAGCCTAGTGAACGGCAGAAAGTGCCGCAGAATGCAAAAGGCGATTGGTGCGCCTCTACGAACACAGGAAACAAAACAAGCGGCATCAATGCCATCCGTTTCGGCGTGTGGTCCTATGGTTGCCACAGTATGGTCCTATGATTGCCGCCACCACCGAATCACAGAATGACTCGCCTCACAACTTGCTTGGTTGCACGGCTTCCTGAAGTTTTTGCCGAGCTGCCTTGGACTGGATTCACACATGTCCCTCGCTCACGCTCGCCTTGGCTGAGCCTTAACAGCCTCAGAACCTGGTTGCTTCAGCCATCAAATCGGGAAGTGTCTGCACAGTGGCAGAAACCGGCTGCAGCTCGAAACCCCAACAGCAAGAACACCCAAAGCCCACACAGGAGAAGTTCACGTGAGCCAGGGCAGCTGGCACAGCGAAGACGGAAGGAAAGACACAAAGAACAAATAAGCTCGCAAAAACTTCAACAGAGGACTCGAGGCTTTTATTTTAAACTAAACAGTGCAAAGGACATCCGGCTGCACCGGTCAAGTCGGCCGTCCAGGCCCAAGTCGGTCCGAAATTCGCGCCATGCACGCGCTCGGTGAGTTCTGAGCTTCAAACATCCGGAAAAGGCCTTCTGTGTTTGCTTCCGATCCACACAAATCGAGAAGTGTACTAAGGCCGTCTTGTCAGGACCATTGAAGCATGGCCCCTGCGCAAGGATGACGTTGCCAGGTCCATTGAAGTATGGCCCCGGCACAAGGATGACACGTCATACATGTGGCTCAAGAATCATGCGAAAATCGAGAAGTGCACCAAGGTCTCAGCAGGGGGTTTTGACTTTTGAGGTTGAGGGTTTTGGAGTGGGTTCCAGAATACCCTGTATCCTGGCCCCCCTTTTGTCCCCAAACCCTTCAGGGTTCTTTGGAGCTTGATCTGCGGATGGTGATCAGAAGTAGCGGTGATGTCTAGTGATTATGATGATGTGCCTTATCAGATAAGACAGGCGCTGCAACAGCAGCGGCAGCAACAACAGCAGTCACCAGCATTCAGCATCGTTACAGATAGCAGTCCGCAACCACAGGTGATGAGCCCAAATGCTCCACCGCAATCCCGCTCTGCAGCGAGTGCTTCAGTGGCACCACAGCTTCAGCACTTCGACGCACCATCATCAGAAAATGTGGTGCATATGAGGATGCAGCAGATGTTGCAGATTCAGGCGCCTGCCGAAGTTCTCAGATTGCTTCAATCAGCTGCCGTGGTGGCCGATGCTAAGACCATAAAGGACGTGCAGGACAATGTTCGTTTGGTGGCTCAGGAGCTTGAGGCAAAAACAGAACGGTTGGCATCGTGCTTGTCGGGAATTACCGGGGACCTAGATGGGGTGAAACAGCAATCCGAGAGACTGCTCAATGCTGCGAGTGATCACCATGTTGCCTTGAACAACGCCAATGGCAAATTCAAGAGGCTTGAGGAACAGATCCAGCAGATAGAGGATGCAGTTACTCAAATGTCGAGGCGTCAGGTCACCTTTGAGCCTACGATGGAGAGTCGGCTGGGTGCCATTGAGAATCAGATCATTCAGTTGCGAGCCCAGGCTACCTCAGCGGACGCGTTGAGAGATGAAGTGGCTTCGATGCAAGCTACGTTGTCGAGCATTCAACAAAGCGCGCAGAACAAGAGTGAAGAGAGTGAGACCCGCATTCAGCGTAGAATTGATGAGATGGATGTTTTGTCAAAGCATTTCTTCGAACGTGTGGATGGAAATGAAAAACTCTGTGAGAAGCTTAGACAGCGGTCGGAAGATCTCATCAGCCGATACGAAGCCTTGCAAACTCACGTTGATGTGGGGCTTAGCGGGCAACCCAGAGCTTCATCGCGTCGTCTTCAACTTCAGATGCCCCAGCAGATTGCAGAAGAAGTGCACGTTGAGAGTTCTGAGGAGGAGGCGAGGGCTCAGGAGATCATTGAAACACCGAAGAATCACACAACATCAGGTGTTCAGATGTTCCAGATGACTTCCTAGCGTGACGGAGCCGGGGATCTATGGCATAAGGAAGCTGTTGATGAGTGGCTAGAGCAGGAAGAGGATTCTCAGGCTGCGCAGTCACCTGCAGAGCCTCCCGGTCTAAGGAGTTCTGGTGCCAAGATTCCGGCGGGCAAACTCACGATTCCGCACGGGGAAC